TTGCGTTATACAGATGACACAACCCTGCCTGCTGAAACTGAGAACCTGAAGTGCTTGCTGCAGAACATCAAGGACTGCAGCCTTCAATATGGATTGAAGCTCAACATCAAGAAAACAATGATTCTCACCACTGGGCCAATTAGCAGCATCATGATAGATGGTAAATAGATTGAGATTGTTAACAGATTTAGTTTGCTTTACTCCACAATCAACACTCTTGGGTCCAGTGGCCAGTAAATCAAAAGACAAATTGCATTGGGAAAATGTGCTGTCAGGGCTCTCTCCAGAGTACTGAAGAGCAACAATGTCAGTCTGGACACTGAAGTGCACCTGATCCAGGCCATAGTCTTTGCTATTACTTGCTGTGCATCAGAAAGCTGGACAATGACTAGGGATAACAGAAAGATAATTGATGCCTTTGAGCTGTGGTGCTGGAGAAGGGTATTCAATATACCGTGAACTGCCAGCAGAACAAACAGGTTTGTCCTAGAGAGAGTGAAACCAGGCTGCTCCTTGGAGGCAAGGATTCTGAAGCTTCGTCTGACATACTCTGGGCATGTTGCAAGGAGAGACCAGACCTTGGAGAGGTTACATCATGTTTGGAAGGGTGGAGGGACTGGGTAAGAGAGGAAGACCCTGGATGAGATGGATTGATTCAGTGCCTGTGGTAATTGGAGTAGTGTGTCAAAGACAATAAGGTTGGCACAGGATGAATGAAGCAGGGTTCAGGGCTGTTGTACATAGGGTTGCTGAGTCACAAGAGACTTGACCGCCCATAACAACAACAACATGGAATCTTTGATCAAAATATTTAGTAATGGTCAGGTACCATCTTGATTTTCTGGTCTCATGGAAAAGGAAGCAGTTGTTCATGAAGATAATTACCAGCACACTTCATATCCTCCTTCTATTCCTGACTCTCCTTCCTCTGTTGTTCTAGGTGAACGCAGACAAGTTGGTTGGCCATGGACAACTGCTTGCAGGCTTTTAAGACCAAACATGTAATACAAACTAGGAAATAGAATCCTAAATGTATTATTGGTCAATTAACTGAGATACCCCATGAAATCATGACCCTAAACCATCCATGGGTTTTTTGGTTTGTACATAAGTTATCCAGAAACTCTTCTCTTTGTTGCTGTTGTAAATAACTCCACCACACAACTTTTCCCAATCCAATTTTGTACGAATGTACAACTTATTAACAGCAGATATAATAAGTGGCTGTGTGTAATTCTACCTAATCAATGTGATTTTCCCCTCCATTATCATCAGTACCCCTTCTCCTATCCCTTCTGCTCTAATCAACTTGGCTCCATACCACTAATATACTAAGAAACTTGCCTTTTCTTGTCTTCTTATATATGTAAGCGAGGTCAGGCAATATTGGTCCTTTTATGACTGACTTATTTCACTCAACATAATATCTTTCAACTCTTTCTATATTGTGTTTTTGTACTGTCGCGTTGGAACCAACCCATAGCTCTAGTGGGTTGTCAGAGGCAGTAAATTGCACAGGAGGAGACTGCCCATCCTTCTGTGGAACAGCTGATGGATTCAAACTACAGGCCTTTGGATATGCAGCACAGCTTTTTACCACTAGGTCACCACACAATCTTACTTGCTGAAACTGAGGAGGGGCTGAAGCATCTGCTGCAGAGGGTCAAGAACTGTAGTTTGCAATATCGATTGAAGCTCAACATCAAGAAAACAAAGATTCTCACCACTGGGCTGGGTTCATTGGCAGCATCATGATGGATGGAGAAAAGACTTACTTGGTTCCACAATCAACACTCTTGGTGCCAGCAGCCAGGAAATCAAAAGATGAAATGCATTAGGGAAATGTGCTGTCAGGAACCTCTCCAGAGTGCTGAAGAACAAAGATGTCAGTCTAGACACTAAGGTGCGCCGGATCCAGGCCATGGTTTTTGCAATTACTTGTTATGCTTCAGAGAGCTGGACAATAACCAAGGATGATGGAAGAATTAATGTTTTTGAGTTGTGGCTCTGGAGAAAAATTTTGAACATACCATGAATTGCCAAGAGAACTAACAGGTCTGTCTTAGAGATGGTGAAGTCAAGTTGCTCCTTAGAGGCAAGGAGTTTGTGACTCCCTCTCACACACTTTGGTCACATAGACAGGAGGTGCCAGTTTTGGGAGAAGGATATCATACTTGCCTATCTGGCCCAGCAGTAATGAGCTGCCCTGTGGCTGACAGGCACCATGGTCTCATCCAGCAGGACGGCCCTAAGTACTCTATCATCAGAATTGAGCTGACCTGAGGGTCCCCAGGTCTTCAAGGGTGAAAGGCAGTGTCCCATTCCACCTTCCACAGAGGGAAATAGCTACTCAAGCTCCTACTACGGCTTTCAGGACCACTCTCTACCTAGTGCCAGCCAATCAGATCAGCTTTAGATGGGGTCAAGATCAGCCAAGGGAAGAGGGAGATTCAAGCTCAAGGAAAAAAAGAGTTTGTGATCTTGTTACTATTTGTTTAAAGCATTGCCAAGTTCATCGAAGTGCCCTGGTGGCGGAATGGTTAAGCACCAGTCTGGTTACTGAAAGGTTAGAGGTTCTAACACACCACTAACTCTGCAGATGAAAAGACTTGAGGATCTGCTCCTATGAAGATTTCAGTCTAGGAAGCCCCATAGGGCGGCTCTGCTCAGTATAGGGTTGCTCTAAGTCAGAACGGACTTGACACCACACAACAACCAACTTCACTTTCAAAGGCCACTTTCACAAGGCTCTTTCTAGATCAAAGCCTTTAATGGTTCCCTATTGGTTCCACTTGACATTCAAAGCCCTTCACAGCCTGGACTCCTCCTCTCCAGCTGGCGCAGCTACAGACGCGATGATACAGGAACATTTACACAGCCATTCTCTTCTTGCGTTCCTTCCATTCTAACAGCCACTGTCTGGGGTCAGGCACTCCATGTCCACTTCACACATGAAGAAATGGGTTCAGAGACGTTAATCCACTTACAGTCATAGGACTGAGAGAGGCACAATGTGCACCTGGGTTTCTGCCTTTTAAATCCTCTTTGATGTCACTCTTCTCAGTCTATGAAATACCGTAGAGCCATGTTGCAGCCTGTGACACACAGAACTTAACTGCTGGGACAGAAGATGAGGAGGAGAGGAAGTGTTCTCTTTTCACCAATCAGCATCAACCAAGCCAAATTCTACAAGTCAAAAACCACTTTCCAAGCACGTGGACTAGACGCCAGACAGTCCCCAAAAGATTCAGGCTCTCCTTCCACTGTCAAGAGATGAGATGATGAAACAGCTTCTAAGCCAAGGACTACATTTCCCGGTGGGCACTGCACGCTCTGCCTTGAAGTCTCTGGTCATAGGAAGAGATCTGAACTTATTTTGCCACTTGCAGGCCTAGCCCTTAAAAACCTTCTTTGCAATTCTCTACATCAGCTTTTCTCTGAATGGGCTAATCGCCACTAAAACCAATTTGAATGAGTGTCTTCCATTCTCGACACAAAAGAAGGAAGTTAATTCATTATGCACCACACATGCCTGAGAGCATTAGGCCTTCATTCTCTTGGGAAACTGGGTGGAGATGGTTTGCTTACATTTTCTCTTCTCTCTCTCTCCGCTGTATTTTGATACTCATCCTTGGAAGCTCATATTCGTTGAAGAGTCTCTGAGAGCCTGGGTCCCTGAATGACTACAAGACAGGGCTTATATGAACAAAATCCCGAGGCAAATTCATTTCCCTTGAGTCGGTTCCCTTCACTGGGTTTCTGAGGCTATACATCTTTATAAGAGATTAGCTTATCTTTCTCTCATGGATTTGAACCACCAACCTTTCAGCTGGCAGACCAACATGTAACACCGATGCCCTAGGGTTCCTTTTACACAAAGAATAATACATTTGAGCTGCTTCAATCCACTGAATTTTGGGATGTATTTGTCACCGTGGCTAATGTTATCTTAAACACTAAGGGTAGAAAGAGGAATGGGTTAAGAGACTCACTTAAATGCCAAATCAGAGGACAGGGTACAAGTCCCAGGCTCAGCAGGGAAGCCTGGGGGAGGCTCTTGCCAGGATGGAGCTGACTCATTTCTTCCTACAGCCTGAGGGGCTCCCAAACACTCCTGAGTTTGTGTGTGTCCCCTAAGTAGGACTCCACTTCCTGCCAACAGCGTAAGTCACCCTAAAGATAATACTCCCATATAGGATATAACTGAATAAGCAACAAACCGAGCCTGGCTAATTTCAGTTATTGTGGGGTTTACGAAACACCAGAGATGGAGGGTAGTAAGGACAGAGTCAACCATCTTGGTTCAATAGAATCAGCCAGAGGCCCACATCAACAAGTTCTGATGCTATCAGAACAGGGGCCCTAACAGTGCACTTCCTCCCGAAGGGAGGTTTTATCCTTGGATACCATCCCTAATAGGAGCCGGTGCTGTCAGCCCCTTTGGTGTTGTCCCACACCAAGCAAGAACAAGGGGTGGGGTTCAGAGAAGAGTGAGTGACTTAAAAACACGCACAGAGTACGCAGGGAGATGCGCCCACTCCCGCCCATTTTTGAGCTGGGGCTTTAGGGATGCCTTTCGTAGAAGGGCACAGTGGACAGTAGGGCATATGCGACCTCCTATCCACCACCTACTGCTGGTCAGCCTCTACAGGTAATGAACGGGAAATCATATCATTTTCTTGACCTGCACCTCCGCCCACACCTGGGCTCAGCAATAACATCTCAGGGGCAGAAGGTGAAGCTAGGATGGAGTGAAAAGAGCAGCCCTCAGGGTCCAGTTCTCCAAGCCCATTGGCAAGACCTCTGCTATACTTTTGCTTCAGAGACCTCGGACAAGGGAGTCCCTACACGCACAAATAAATACACATCGTGAACGCTTCCTAGGGCTAACAACAATGATGGGACGCGAGCACAGCAGCTGAGAGTCTAAAGAGTGAACACTGCGGAAAACGCGCCCAGGGCGCGCCCAAGTTAAACCCAGCGACTACACACATGCAAACGCTCGGCAGAGCCGAGAGCCCGCCCGGGGCGCTGCCGCAGACCCCGCCCGCCTCGCGCGTGCGCGCCTCGCTCCCGGCGCCCGCCCTTACCCGAGCGGTGCCGCTGGCGCAGAAGGACCGCCTGGCCCGGTGGTGGTGACGCCGAGGAGGCGGCGGCAGCGGCCGCAACGGTGGTGGTGGCAGTGTGGGCCGCCGAGGCGGCGGCGGCTTCGGGGACTCCGGGGCCCGGGACACCGGGCGGGACCCCGGCGGGCGGCGGACTCTTGTCGCCGCGCCCGGGTTCCGAGGTGGCGGCGCGGCCCCCAGCGCCCGTGGTGCCCGCGGCGTTGGCGGCGCTGGCAGCAGGGCCGTGGCGGCGAGGGCCGCTGCTCTGGATGTGGGACACGGCCTCGGCAGCCTGCATGTTGGGCGGCGCGAAGCGCGAGAGCACGCGCAGCAGTGCCTGGGCCTTGTGCTCTTGCGTGTCGTCGTCGCTGTAGTCCGACACGCGACACTCGTACACACCCTCGTCCTGCCGCCGCACGGCAGACAGCCGCAGCCTGTGGGAGATGTCATTGCCCTGGACGCGCACGGTCTGCAAGAGAGCAGGAATCGGGCAGTCAAAGGCCGGACGGGGAAGGCACGGTCCCCTAGGCTGTTGATCTGAGGCCGTGCCAGCTACTGCCTTTGCGTCCTTCCTCTCCAAGCCAGTTGCCGTCATAACCCAGTTTTCCATACAACTCCAGGTTATCCAGCAGCACAGGTCGCTGCTTGGACCCCAGGTCCACCTTCCATTGCACAGTGTGCCCCATCCACCCTTGCCTATCATCTACTTGGCATTCCCTCTCCCTCCAGACTGAGGCTTCAATTGCCCAACAGCTTTCCTTCGGAGCCACAGAACTCACTTCTCTTTCAAGAACTGGCTCCTTAAGGATTTTCAGCTCCCACAGTGAGGCTATCCAACAGACTACATTACCTTAGTCCCGCCCTCCACCTCTTCCCACACTGGAGCTCCCTTTTTCTAGAATCAAGAGTTTGCAAGGAAAGACGAATTTGAAGAGTCTCTGCTCTCCCAAGGTGGCATGGAGGGCTGTGGGTGCTGCGGGCCTCCTCAGCCTCCTGCTAGGATTCACTTTTCCAAGCTGCATCCTGAGGCCGGTGATGCAGCGCTCCTCCCCCTTGGGCTGGTTGACAAGGGGAAGGAAACCCTCTGTGACCGTCCCCAAACACCCAGGGGAACCCTCATCTCAGACGCAAACTATCAAACCCTCTGGGTCCCATAGGGTTTCCAAGGCTGCAAATCGTTGGGGAAACAGTCAGCCTCATCTTTCTCCTCCAAGAGGCTGGTGAGTTCAAGCCCAGGGCTTAACCCACTGCACCTTCAGATTCTTAAGCCAACTGTGGAAGCTTGGATGTATGGCTTGCCAGATTTAGGAACCCTAGGCGACCCCTGCATCCTGCATCGACTGCACGATCCTTCCAAGCCTACCACACTCAGGCAGAGAGGAGCGCTGCAGCTGAGGGGGTGGCGTGGAAGGGCACGGGGAGAAGCCCACAGCGGAGAAGCATGTTCCTACTGTTGGGAGAAAGGGCTAACTGAGCCGGCAGGCAGCTGGAGCACAGCACCCAAGAAAAGAAAGACTTTTTTTCTGGGAGAGCGCCAAGTTAAGGGAAGGGATTCGAGGCTCGAACCCTAGATTTCCACAAGAGAACTTGATGCTGCAAGCAGCGATAGATGGCGCCCCGACACTCTAAGCAGCCTAAAAGGCAATGATGCCCAAAGTCGTGCCCCCTCCTCCCACTCCCGCTCGGCCTCAAGCTTTCTAAAGGGGAGGGAGCTGCGGGGCGCGAAGTGGCCGGAAGGGGTCTCCCGCGGCCCACGCTGGGCTTCACACTTACGCTGATTTTAGTTGCATCCTTATTTGTTACCTAAAATGCAAAGAGGAAGAGAAATGTTAGGCCTAGGGGCCTTTACATCCTGGAAATTCGGATTCGCTTTCCTAAGGACAGCTCTCCGTGGACGGGTTGGAATCTGAAACCACCCGGGGTGTGGCGGGGGCTCAGGGCAAGACGTCGGACACCAGGATTCCCAAGAGTTTTACCCGGAGGCGGGGCTGGCCGCTGGCACAGAACGAGGAAGGGCTGCCGGAGCACCGGACTGCCAGTGGAGGCGGGGAGGTTGGCTTGCGGGGCAGGGGCGTCCGTCTCCCTTACAGGGCGCACTCGTGGTCCCTGGCTTGTTCCTCCGAATCCCCACCATCCATCTCCTCCTAATTTGAGCTCTGGAAAGCTGAATGTAGGGGTCTTATGGACAGGGCCAGTTGGGAGGCTGTTAGCAATAACTTCCAGACGGGACCTGGGGAGGCACAGGTGTGTGCATGTGGTGCTAGAATGTGAGAGGCATGGATTGTGGCGGCAGTGGCAGCAGGGGCTGCTTTCCAGCTACAGGGAGGCCGCCCTCTGAGCCTGTGGGGGCTGTAGGTGCCCTGCCAGCTTCCCCGTACACGGTGCTTTGCTGGCCTCTGGAACTGAGCCCAGAGGAGCTTAACTCGTTGGCCCTGTGCCCTAGGGACCACTGTGTGGCAGCCAGCAGAGAGAGTCCAGTGGACCAAGCGGTCTTCCCTCATCACGCTACAGGCACTGAGAAGCTGTGCCCGCACCAACGAGCAAGGGCAGGGCAACTGATTGAGGTGTGGATTTTTAGAGGCCAGGCATGACTGAGTTTGAGGAGGTTTCGTGAGAAAAAAAAAATTCAAATGAACTGTCAACACTTTGGGGGTTAACGAGGGTCGATGTTGAAGATGCAGAGATGGTGGGTAGGATGGGAGAGGCGCAGCGCCACAGGGCGGCGCCCTAGGTCTGCAAACTCGGTTGCCTTCCTCTCTGCGGGGCTCTCCCCCCCACCGCCCTAGGCCTAAGCCGAGCGAACGCGGGAGCCTCTTAGGCGGCCGGGTACCTTGCTCCGGGCGCCTGGCACACTGAGAGCCAGCTCGTGCAGCAGCTCCCGGGGAGGCTCTTTGAGGTACCACCACTGAATCTCCAGCGAATATGAGGTGGCTCCGCTGGCCCGGAACGCGCAGGGCATTTCGATGTCGTCTCCTTCCCGCACTGTCACATCTTTGGGGACTTCAGTGAATGTAGCTGGGGGCGGGGAGAAAGAGGCGTGACCAGCTGCGTGGCGAGGGCTGGGGGCAACCTAAGGCAAGGCTGTAGGTCCCTTGCGCGCTAGCCTTGCGCCCCCTCCCTCCAGCCACATCGTGGCCAGCGGCGGGAGGCGCTAGCAAAGTTCGTTCAGGCAGCAGCTGGGTCGCAGGAGGGACCGACCATTGGCTGCAGGCTGTTTTCCCCTGAGCGGGCCGGGAGGCAGAGGAGGCTCAGGTTTCTCCCCCGCGTCTGGCTACGCCACCAGAGTCAGACAGGGGCGAACCACTTCTCGGGCTCTGCGGGCCGACTCTGTGCAGCCAGAGCCCCAGCCAGGTTCAGAACGACCCAGGGGAGGGTGCCGTCGCTGCGGTGCCCCTTCTGCTACTCTTATCCCCCAGCCCCTCCAGGCCCGTATGCATACTGTGATTGCTGGAGACTGCGAAGCCTTCCCCTTCTCTTCCTCGGCAGCGACCAGGGCAGGAGGGCTCAGACGGCCCCAACAAGGACCCCCCGTGCCCCCCGCGGCAGCAAAGTTCCCGCGCTCACCGTCGGCCACGAAGAACAGCAGGGCGTGCAGCAGCAGCGGCGGTAGGTATCCGAGGGCGCCGAGCCGGTTCCGCTGTTCCATCTCCCGCATGGGGCGCGGCGGCGGGGGCCCGGGCAGGGAGAGGCGGCGGTGGCGGCAGCGTGGGCTCCGATCCGGCTCGGGCTCGGGCTAGGACGTCTCCGAACCAGCCATGGCCCCGCGCGGCGCCCCCTCCCCCGGCCGCCGGCGGCCACCAATCAGCCCCGCTCCCTGGCCGGCTTGCCCGGCGCGGCTCCGGTGGGGGGCGCTGCGCGGGGAGCGCAGAAGGCGAGGTCCTGCCGAGAGGCTAGTGGAGATCCGTCCGTGTCTTTCTTCGTCCGGCCGTCCGCTGGACGATCGAGATCCGCGGTTCAGTCTCTGCCCGGCGGGCCGGGCAGGAGCCGGGCCGCGCCAGGACCCATTCCTGGAGGAGAGGGTGCGTGCCTCGGAGCCGTAAGCTTCTGCCTCCCAGTTTCCTTCTGCTTTGGCTCCCGATTGCCACCTACTCCGGCGCCCGCGGAGCTCTCCCGCCGCCGCCCCCGCTGGTCCCTCCGCGGCTTTCTCCGCAAGGCGAGTGGGCGCTCAGCCGCGGCGCGCAGAACTGGCGTCCGACCCAGCGCAGCGCGGGGAGAGCAGGTCCGGCGTGGCGGACCCAGAGCGGGAGAGGCGGAGAGAGGGGGAGGGGAAGAGAAAGGGAGGGGGCGGTCAGTGGCTGGGTGCCGAGCCGCCTCCACCGCTGCATCACCCCCGCCCTCTCCTCTCCTTCTTCAGCTGGCACCGCCCCTTCCCCAGAGCCCACCCCCACCCCGCTCCCCTCGCGGGGGTCATTTGGAGGGACCACCATTGCTTCCCTTGTTGGAGCGCAGCCCCGCCCCGCCCCCGCTGGGTGGAGATGTCCTCCCACCCAAACTCTCCCTGGCTTCCTCCCAGTCTCGGGCGACCGAGACGGCCGTTCATTCCTGCTCCTGGCGTGTCCCGCGGCCCTCTCCGCAGCCCTGAGCCCGCAACTCCTTACCCGGGCTTAGACAGTGAGCCGCACCACTCTTTGGCCCACACACGGGCCATGGCCGGTGGGTGGGCACCGGGGACCAGGAGAAGGGTGGGATGCTGCAATGGGTAGGGGATGAGGCCGGGTGACAGCGACGACGCCAGGAGTCTGCAGTGTGCGAGCGAGAAGTGAGCGCAGAGCGCAGGGCGTGCAGGTGCCTGTGGCGCGGAGAGCGCACGAGCGAGCCACCAAGCAGCGGCCGTGAGTGACGGCGGAGGCGGCGGGGGTGGGGTGGGGTGGAGAGAGCTGGGCACGACTCAGGGCCCTAGAGGTTTCCGGGCGGGGGCGGGGCTCCTGCCCCTTGGTGGCGAGGTTGTGTGGCTCCCCCCCGCCCCCCCGTCACTGATCGCGCCCCCCGCTTTACTCTGTACTGGGGAACCCAGAGGTAGCAAGCAGGAGGCTGAGTCCCGGAGCCCATCCGCCGCTTCCATAGCTGTGGAACCCGTTAGCTCCCCTCGTCTTCGCCCAGAGTTTGCCTCTTTCCTAGCCATCTGCAGGAGTGCTCCCTCACCCCAGAAGGGAACGTGAGGTGAGCCGGAGGTCGAGGTGCTGCTCTCAGTCTTTGGGGCAACTCCTCCTTTCCTCCTCTTTGCCATGGGAGTCCCAGCCTGTGGGTTTCAGTATCTCAGACTCGCGCTTTGCCCTACTCGTCTACTCTGCTCTGATGTTGAGACGAGGGGACTTAGATTCACAAGTCATCTTCCCCAGCTCTCCCTGCCTACTGGAGGCCCCAAAGGGGGGTTCCCTTGGAGCCTAAGAGAAGGAAATGTTGAGGGAAAATACTTTGCTGTAGCCAGTCTGGCGCAGCGGCCAGGCCCTCCTGGAGGACGGAACCCGCACGCCAGCCAGCGCCGAGCTGCGCCCTAACCAGCAGGCGCCCCTCTTGCCCTTCTTCCTTTCCGGTCTGGGCTTTCATAGCTGTGGATCCCTTCCTGCCTGCTCAGATCACCGCTGCTCAGATTTTGAGTTCTCTTTTGCCAAGGTCTCTGGGTAGGGCAAGAACTATGGGTGAGGTCTCCTTCCTCTCCCCCAGCTCCTTTCTAGGGTCCACCTCCCTGTCATTTCATCCCACAGGTGGGAAGCCTACCCATTGCCATCCTGCCTCTCATTTGAAACAGCTTTGGATCCATAGTCCACGAAATCTAAAGCCCCACTGCTATCTTCAGCATCTGAAGGGAGGGGGCAGGCTTGCACTGTGCTACACGGATCCAGGATTAGGGTGGGATTCTAGGAAAGCAGATTCAGGCGCCCACTCCTGGTTCTGATGACAAGCTTGCCCACAGAGCAGTGGCCTGCCTTGGAAGAGTATCGCTTGCCATGCCAGAGCCAGCAGAGCGATGAGGCTAGGGGTCAGACCTGTGTGAGGGGAGAATTTCAGCAGCCAGAACAAGTTACACCTTTGGTTACCTTTCAGGTTTGTCAGTCTCCTAAACCAGGACCACGCCACAGAGCAAGGCGTTTCTTGTGCACTGTGTGAATGATATTATTATTTATAAGAATAGATTTGCTAGCCTTGAGCAAATGCGTCTCAGGTACCTGGTATTGTCTACACACTTTGCATACACCACTTCTCAACACGGCAACCAAGTAAATGGTTTTTCTCAGGCATAGATCAGATCATCCTTTCCCTGTGCTTCCATTTCACTCAGCAGAAACACCATTGTCTCCTCCATGGATGGCAAGGGCAAACAGTCTGCCTCTTTGCCCGTCCCCCTCCCCCCAGCTCACCAATCCTTTCCCTGATTCCCATTCCCCTAACCACATTTGACTCCTCCCTGTGAGGCACTGTTGAGTGTGCTCCTACCGCAGGGCCTTTGCACAAGCTGTGGCACTTGGCCCAGCTGCTCTTCACCTAGACTTAGTTCTTCATGTTCCTTTCTAGTCTTTAAGTCTTTGTAGAGGAGTCACCTTCTCAATGAGCCCAACCTAAGACCACCATATTTAATGTTGTAATCTGCAGACCTTTCTCTCCCTTGTTATTCCTAGACCCTCATCCAATTGCTCCTCCCCACACCATAACATTTAGCACCTTCCAACTTTCTTCCAGCTAGGATGGAGAGGCTTCACCTCACATACTTGGGGCGTGTTGCTAGAAGAGGTTATTCTATCTGCTGTCCTGTTGGCCCCTAACTCCTGGTGACCACATACTTACCACAGGATTTTCAGAAAGGGCTCACCAAGCCTTTCTTTCCTAGGGTGTTTTTGGCTGCAAGCTGCATGGAAATCTTGTCAGCATCATAACAACAACAACACAACAATGTAAGCTTTCCCTGACAGATGAATGCCCTTGGTACATGATGGGGGTGGGGTGGAGGTGGAACTCAAACAGGTCATCTTGCATAGAAAATGACTTCCACCATTCAACTTCCAATGCACTTGTTGAGTTCTTTTGACCCAACACCCTGACCCCACCCTGACTCATGCGGAGTCTATATGCGCAGTAACATTGAGGGTGGAAGTGTGGCACTTGACCTGGGCGTCGCTTGAGGGGGGCGACAATAAGCAGTTTCTTTTTCTCATCCCAGTTTCCACTGTCACCTGGTCATTGATTTTAAACCAGTTCTTACAAGTGCTATATTCTTTAGCTATAGGTCCCCCTATCCGCTGTCCAAATTACTGAGGAAAAATGAAGTCAATTTAAAGACCAATGTGCACTTGCTTTAGGCCAGAATCTTTTCAGTCCCTTGCTATGCGTCTGAGAGCTGGACAGTGAGTCAGAATGACAGAAGATGAACCGATGCATTTAAATTGTGATGCTGGAGAAGAGCCTGAACAGACCATGGACTGCCAGGAAAACAAACATGAATCCTGGGAGAAGCACAGCGAGAGTGCTCCTTGGAGGCAAGGATGGAGAGGCTTCACCTCACATACTTGGGGCGTGTTGCTAGAAGAGGTTATTCTGTAGAAAGGGATCATCATGCTGGGAAAGGTGGACGGCCAGTAAAAGAGAGGAAGACTCTCAGCCGGATGGATTGGCACAGTGGCAGCAACTATGGGCTCACGTGTGTCAGAGGTGATGAAGATGGCACAAGATAGGGCAGGGTTCAGGTCTATTGTTTGTAGAATCTCTGTGAGACACACTTGACTCAATGGCACCTAACACACCAACATTGCCCCATAGGCATTCCAAGGCTGAAATCCACATGAAAGCAGATTGTCAAATCTCTGCCACTGTGGAATAGCTGGTGGGTTTGAATCATCAATACTTCCTTTAACAACCAGGAGCTTAGCACCGCACCACCAGGGCTCCTTAACGTGGAGCCAGAGCTCAGTACATGTTTGATCTGGGGGCACAGCGAGAAGTGCCAGGTGGAGGCGTTTTGCCCCTCCTCTGTGGAAGGCGGGCAGCTTTGTCCTTTGACTATGTGGAGGGTCAATGAGCTGAAAGCAGGTTGCACTGCCTGTGGGTCTGTCTGGTCCTTCCGTGCAGTGAAGCCAGTTTCCTGTCACTCTCTAAAGCAGTCTGTGGTTTGTATTGCTTCTCCCACAGGGACACTCCTCTCTGGGGACACAGCTGTTCCATCCCAGTGTCTGCGAGGGTCCCTTGGGCTCCCCTAAAGATGTGGGGTTTGGAATGAGCCTTGCATGTGAGCAGATTTTCACAGTGATGGACTAGGAGGGGGTATTTCAGATAAATAAGACTGTTTTATCTCCAGTCTTGAGTGTTTGGCCTCCTGGCGGAGGCTCTGAGATGCGTGAAGGGTCACTGTGCAGGGCCTGGAGGGGTCCTTCTGCAGAGTCACCCAAGGGGCCGCAGCTGACCTGCCTTACCCAGGTAAGGACGAGCCGTGGGGCCTGCCCGCTTCTCCTTTCTGTCTATGCCCTGCCACCACTCTTGGGCTTTTATCACATGTTCTTTCCATGGGCCTGCAGGGGTATGTGACTCTTGTCATAAGTTTTTTTAGGTTCTTTCTACTCTGAGCCACTTCAAATAGTGCTGTTTAACCTTCCCTCAAATCACACACGCACGTATGCATGCACTGACAGAGAGAAAATAAAATGCCACAAAAGTGCT